GGGGTAAGCACATTCAACCATGATAAACAGTTATATAGAGACAACATCATAAAGAACATGTATCTAAGGTCACAGTTTACTTTCAAATCATCCACATCATCATTCAAATCAGACAAGCACACCTTGATGGCGCCACGGGACCAATCACATGTCCCGAACATGAGGGTTAGTGCATATAGCACTAACATGGCCCCGCAGCACCCTACCTCATACCGCAGCATGAAGGGGTTGATTGCAACCAACCATACAGACCGCCGATAGCTCGACGGCGGATCACAGCCCTACACACCGCTGACGCGCTCAGTCGGTGGACTGCGATCCTCTTCTGGGGACTACGACCCTACACACCGTTGATGAGCACAGTCGGTGGATCGAAGCGAATCAAGCCCTACACACTGCTGAGGGACTCAGTCGGTGGGCGAAGATCCTCGGAGACTACGACCCTACACACCGCTGGCCCTTCACTCGGTAGATCGTAGCCGACCGTAGCCCTACACACCGCTTGATCACTCATTCGGTGGACTATGGTCTTCCTCAGGCTGGTGGCCCTACACACCGCTGCCGCGTCCAGTCGGTGGACCATCCGCACACGAGGCCCGTGGGCTGTAGCCCAAGAAGTGAATCACTGACCGCAGCCAGGAAAATGAACCGCAGCTCATAAACAACCAATTTGACCGCAGCCAACTTCTAAACCGCAGCTCAGGAACAACCAATTTGATCGCAACCGAATTGGGGAATCATGCATCACATAACACATTGTAGCACATAATAGCACATTGGGAAAGGGGGGAGATGTAAAAATAAACTTACGTGTGATCATTCACATACAAAGAGTAGTCCTAAGGGGTTCATGCATTCTTCTCCTAGGCCAACGGGTTACCGATTCACTAGCATGCAATTCCTAAGACTCTTTTATCCTACGAATGGCACCCGAAACATCAAACTAGACTCAAGCACGACTAACAGGGTCCGTTGGGACACCACGGGGAATGGGGAACATCAAACGGGGAAGCCGAGGACCCGGGGTGGGTAATAGCCTAGCGGGTAGCCGGTGGGTGTGGGTCACCCGCAGGCTACCCGTCGGCGATGGTCTTCCGGGCAACGGGTGGCCGGCGGGCAGACGTCTGCCCGCCGGCTACCCACTGGCTGGCGATGATTCTCGGGCAGCGGGTAGGTGGCGGGTACCCCTACCCCCCAATGACTCTTTCATCAAATACGCGTCCTGGGATCCTTTATGGAACCCGAAACCATGCTTAGACACTTTTAAACGTAAATAACGACACCACGTAGGCAATTATTGGATCAAAAGCAAGAATCATATCGAACACATCCTAACATGACTTCTAAACATAAATAACGCCCGAACATGCGAATTCCCGCCCAAGTTTAAATCAAGAACATCCTAATACAAATTCCCAACCCAACCTAGGGCTCTAATCCCATCCAAATCATCAAAATCATATTTTATCTTTATCATCAAGAATCATCAAGATTTATCAAGATTATCAAGAATCATCACATAAATATCAAGAACCTCTTTTTAACATCAAGATCACACATAAGATCATCACATCAATCAACAAAATTATATCACGAATATCATAAAGGAATTCATCAAGACACAAGCATATAGAGGGAGCCAAAGAAGGAGAATATATCAAGGAAAATAGGTTTTGTTGAGACATGGGTTACCTTTTAGCCTTAATTAAATTCCTTGGTTATGAAGGATCTTTCTTTAAGATTTCTTCTTTCTTTGTGGTGAAAGTTATTGTGGTGTGAGTTCTAGGTGCCTCCTATGTCCCTATTTATATATCTAAGAGTCCCAATTAGGGTCTAAGTGGTATGGATTAGCTAATTCTATTTCCTATAGGACTAAGGGATTGGTTTTAGGGATAAGGGCCCATGGACTATGGTGGGCCCCCTTTTAGCTAATTAATGAATTTTAATTCCATTTTTAGGGTGAGTAATTAATTAATTAATTTGGTTTAGGGGTTGTAACACGGGGTGTTACAACAAGTCTCTGGATGGTCCTCTGATTCTTCAATTTGATGCCTTGAACACTCCACCATTGAAGGGCCTCCGTGTTTCAAGTGGCTTGATCTTCAAAGAAGGGCTCGTATATATAGCTTGTTCTTCTTTAAGGGCCTCCGAGTTCAAATGGCTTGATCTTCAATGGTGGTTTGGATCAATAGGCATAGGCATGATCATTATGGAGGAGGGGCTTTTACTTTCAGGATCACAATTTTTTTTGGAGATCTCTGAATAAACTTGATGTATCTATGAATTGTTCCTAGGATGTGTTTGTGATTACATAGAAATAAGATGTCCTATTTATAGCTGTAGGATAGAAAAGTTTTGATAAACTCAAACTCTTTTGATATTATCTAATTAACAAATTATATAATATCAATATTATCCATACATAAATTCAAATATACTAATATTGATAAATAACCAATATTTATCAAAATTTAAGTGTCTACAAATTGGCACACCTAGTAGGACAGCTCTGCCTCTCATCTCTTCATAGGCACATACCATTCAACTGGTATGGGGGAAACCCCCATATGAAATTTGAAATGGAGGAGGCTAAATGATACTCCTTGGCACGAGTTTAAACAGTCTTATATTCAGACTCCTTGGCACGAGTTTAAACGGCCCCATATCTTTCATGGCTCCTTGGCACGAGTTGAAACGACCTTATATCTTTAAGTTGTAGTGTCGAGACTTTCTTGCACTACATACTTTTGAATGTTATATACTCTCAAGTGGTGTATAAGCAAGTCTCGAGGGGGCATTTGTAGACACTTAAATTTTGATAAATATTGATTATTTATCAATATTCGTATATTTGAATTTCTGTATGGATAATATTGATATTATCTAATTTGTTAATTAGATAATATCAAAAGAGTTTGAACGTATCAAAACTCTTCTATCCTACCGCTATAAATAGGAGCCCTCATTTCTATGTAATCACAACATCCTAGGAAAAATCATAGAAAGAACTCTGAAGCTTATTCAGAGATCACAATAAAAATGTAATCCTGAAAGTAAAAACCCCTCCCCCTCCATATGTTGATGCTTGTTGATCCAAACCTTCATTGAAGATCAAGCCATTTGAACCCGGAGGCCCTTCAAGAAGAACAGGCTATATATACAAGCCCTTCTTTGAAGATCAAGCCACTTGAAACCCGGAGGCCCTTCAATGGTGGAGTGTTCAACGCATCCAATTGAAGAATCATAGGACCATCCAGAGACTTGTATCCACACCGCATTTGATACTCAATGTAACCCAGAATTTTGAATTTCTAAATATATTTATTCAATTTTCTTTGTTTACACACACAAATAAGAATGCAGCCACAAGAAGCACACAGATCCTTGAAATTATACACACTGATATATGTGGACCTTTTGATATCCCAACTTTTGGAAAAGAAAAATATTTCATCACATTTATTGATGATTTTTCATGTTATGGTTATGTCTATTTGTTGCATGAAAAATCTCAATCAATAAATGCCTTAGAGGTATTTGTGGATGAGGTTGAAAGACAATTAGACAAAAAGGTGAAAATTATAAGATCTGATAGGGGTGGTGAATATTACGGAAGGTATAATGAAAGTGGACAATGCCCTAGTCCATTTGCTAAATTTCTTGAAAGACATGGTATTTGTGCTCAATACACAATGCCTGGTACGCCACAACAAAATGGTGTTGCATACAAGCGTAATGGTACCTTAATGGAAATGGTTAGGGCGGAGTATGATGCGTTATTCTTCTTTACCCTTATCATTATGGACATATGCTTTAAAAAAAACGCTGCTTATTTATTAAACAGGGTTCCTAGTAAGGCAGTTTCAAAAACACCATTTGAACTGTGGACAGGAAGGAAACCTAGTTTAAGGCACCTTCATGTTTGGGGATGCCTAGCGGAGATACGCATTTATAATCCACATGGAAATAAACTGGGTTCAAGAATAACTAGTGGATTTTTCATTGGTTATCCAGATAAATCTAAAGGGTATAGATTCTATTTTGTCCTAGCCATACTACTAGAATTGTTGAAACTGGAAATGTTAAGTTCATTGAGAATGATAACATAAGTGGGAGCGTTGAACCAAGAAAAGTGGAACTTAAAGAAGTTGTGGTGCAAGATTTTCCTATATCTTCTTCTCAATTTGTTGTTCCTCCTATGCGTCAAATTACTCTGCTTTGAGTTACTCACATTGCTCATCCTGCAACGGTTGAACAATTTGATCACATGCTGGAACAACACATTAATGATCAACCAGTCCATGTTGAAGTTAGCAATGAACCCACAGATGATATTCCTTCAGAAATAGCATTAAGAAGATCTCAAAGACAAAGAAGATCAGCTATATCTGATGATTATATGGTTTATCTTCAAGAATCAGATTTTGATATTGGAATTGATGAAGATCTAGTTTCATTCTCGTAGGCTATAAATAGTCCTAATTTTTCTAAATGGGTCGAAGTCATGAAAGATGAGTTAAAATCAATGGAAAGTTGGTTGTAAGCCAGTTGGCTGAAGGTTGTAAGCCAGTCGACTGTAAATGGGTTAAGACCAAACACGACTCAAATGACAATATTGAACGATACAAGGCCAGACTTGTTGCCAATGATTTTACTCAAAAGGATGGTATTGATTTCAATGGAACATTTTCACCTGTTTCAAAGAAAGATTCATTTAGAATAGTTATGGCACTAGTAGCTCATTATGACTTAGAGCTACAACATAAGGATGTGAAAACTGTCTTTCTGTATGGAAATTTAGAGGAAGAAATTTACATGAAGTATCCTGAGGGTTTTTCAATTGAAGGAAAGGAACACATGGTGTATAAATTTAAAAGATTGATATACGGACTTAAACAAGCTTCCCGACAATGGTATCTTAAGTTTAATGATACTGTAACGACCTTTGGATTTAAGGAAAACATTGTTGATCGGTGTATATATCTAAAGGTCAGTGGGAGCAAGTTTATATTTTGATTCTGTATGTCGATGACATTTTGCTTACTACTAATGATCTTGGTTTAATGCAAGAGACCAAGCAGTTTCTTTCTAAAAACTTTGAAATGAAAGATATGGGCGAGGCATCCTTTGTGATTGAAATTGAAATATTTCAATTCATAATTGATCACAGGGAGTGCTAGGATTGTCTCAGAAAGCATATATTAACAAAGTTTTAGAATGGAAAAATGCTCTGCATCATTTGCTCCAATTCAGAAGGGAGATAAGTACAGCCTTATGTAATGCCGTAAGAATGAATTGGAGCGTAAGGAAATGGAAAATATTCCTTATGCTTCCTTTTAGCCGAGGGGGCTATTTCTTGGAAAAGTGTGAAGCAGACTGTCATTGCTGTATCCACTATGGAAGATGAGTTTGTGGCATGTTTTATGGTCACAAATCATGGATTATGGCTGCGAAATTTTATTTTGGGACTTGGAATTGTCGACAGTATTGCCAAGCCGCTGAAAATTTATTGTGATAATGCCGCAGCAGTCTTCTTTTCTAAAAAATGACAAGTATACAAATGCTGCTAAACGTATTTATTTGAAGTATCTTGCCGTTAAAGAAGATGTCCGGGAACGAAGAGTATCAATTAAACACATTAGCACTAGATTAATGATTGCAGACCCATTAACTAAAGCATTGCCACCGAAGGCATTTTGTGAGCATGTTGAAAGAATGGGCGTTATTGGAAACTGTTAACATTATGTTAAGTTTGTGTTTTGATATATTTGATACTTAGAGCTCAATATAGTTTCGTTTCTGTATTCAGTGTCCTGTTTAATTTTGAAGTATGTATACATGAATGTTTATGTTAATATAAACAGGATTTGTCCTTGACAAAGACATTATCGTGGACCATCATGGAGAAGTTCATTATGAATGATATTAAGTTTGAAATTAATATTGTGATACATGGAAGGGACTGCACTAAATTAAGTGACGTATTACCACCATGATTCTTATTAGCTTCTAACTTAACGATGACTTATGTTCTGACCAATATAATGAAGGAATTACCTTATACCATGCATATTATGTTTCACGTTCATTATTAAATTTAGTGACTTATGAGCCAAGTGGGAGAATGTTAGAATAATTATTAATATTATTCTATTTGCTCATTGTATTATCTTATGGCTCATAACCATTTAATTATATTTAATAATGATATAATTATATGATTGGCCAGTTAAAGATAATGGCAGTTTCAACTGCTCATCACATAATAACCTCTTAGGTTGATGGAACCGAGAGATTATTATTAGCCACACTGATTCTCTGGTCCTCTGCCCAATCTTCTAAAAGAAACAAAACTCTTTCCATCTGAGTTAGACTAAGGAATGCTAAAGATCTGGAGGGAGAAAACAAGTATCTAGTTCAAGCATTCACGGGATAACAATGGAGCTAGGTATGTTCATTGAATGCCAATTGAATACAGTATGTGAAATCATGTGTTCTAAAGGTCTTGCATTCATAGAATTAACTTACATCACGTACACAAGCAACAAGGGGAAGAGAATATTTGACACAATAATGAAACTTCGATCTTTTTCCTTCAGTATAATTTAACTTGTATAAGTAGTAGAGCAACAATTCTTGCTCCCTGGTTAAAACCGAGATGAATTTTTGTTGCAAGTGGGATGATCATATGTATAATTGAAGAGATGATTAAAGGATAAGATGTGTTCACTTTATAATTAAAATGCCATATATATATGATCTACAACTAAAGAGACAGTTAAAAGGAGCAAATGAATTCTTTGTATAATTAAGGGTGCTGATTTAAATATACAAAATAAGTTTAATAACTAAGATATCAAATTTATTATAATTTTTCTAGAAAAAAAAAAAGCAACTTGTAAACAATTTTTATATTGTATCATGGTACACCATGTTACAATAATAGTGCCATATCCCCTACAAATTAAAGTACTAGCTAGGATATATACTAAGGAAACAAATGTTGGAAAAAGAAAAAGAAATTATAACCTAAATATTGTTCCTAGACTTATTGTAAGTTTATTTTTGTTTTTAACATAATGTCTGTGATTCTCCTTCGACAATAAAATTCTAGATAGACCTCATCTTTTCTTTTTTTTTTTTTTTTTTTTTCTTTTTTTTTTTCTTTTTTTTTTTTTTGTACGTGTGTTAGACAATAAAACAACCTTAGTATGACACATACAATGTAGAATCATATTGGCATCATAAACTTTATGTATACCAATGGTTTATAGAAAAAGGCAAGTGAAAGCTAAGACATTTTAGCATCATGAACTTGGGGTTGGTTTCATTTGGGACCAAATTTAGATAAGCATTTTTTATTTTAAATAATATGTTTATATTCTTATTCTGAAAATTATACAATTTTTTGTAGTTTACAAATTGTATATTGTGCTTTGCAAATTGTACTTCCCTCCTTAATTATATACTCTTATACTTCTCTCCTTACTTTTCAAAAAAAAATACTTCTCTCTTTAATTATATACTTTTGGTAAAACATAAATAGTTACAATTTGATTTTTACTAATGATATTGTCAAATTTCATTTATATTTTTTTTTTATCAAAATTAAATGGTCTACATTGTATTTGATGATTTGTCCTGTGGATGTAGAGAAAATGAGAAATCATCTCGCACACGTCATTTTAAAATATTTACACAAGAAAAAGAGAGATACATAAAAATTGAGCTATTTCTATTTTTAGTCCCCAAATTTTTATATTTTTCACATTTGGTTCATATCTATTAATGTTTTCTACATTTCGTGTATGACAACTAAATATCTGCTACATTTTGTCATTTCAATAAAATTTTCAACAACCTTAGTCAGAATCTTCCACATGACAATCGATCATGTGAGATATTTGAAAAGTTATTTTCGTTATTTGAATTTTAGCAATGTGTAGACCACACAGTTAAATATAGTTGTTTTGGGGTTAGAATGATGAAAAATTAAAAATGATTGGTGAAAAAATTGATCATAATTGAAGGACCAAATGAGATAAGAATTTAATAATCATATAATCACACCTAGAAAAATTAATAGTCTAGAATTAAATTTAAAAATGATAAGATATCTGAGGGACTCAAAGTGAAAAAAAAAAAGAAAAAAAAAAAGAAAAAGAAAAAAAAAACCTCCATAGAAATTTAGAAATTTAGCTCAACATAGCTTAGCCATGCATGTTTGATTAGGTTATATAGTTTATCTTGATCCATTTTGATACTCCGTACAAGTTTTGCCATAACCACCTAAATCGAATGTGTTTATCAACAATACATCCATTCAAGTAAGTCTCAAAACATGTCAAGTAAGAGATTCCCTAAGAAGAAAAAAATAACCACACCACTAGGGACAGAGGCAGGATTTAATTTGTTGGTGCGGGGAGCCAATAATCTTTTAATTTGGTATAATCAATACTTGCAAATGGATTTATTTGAGATGTTAAATTTTCAAAATTCTTTCTTTCAAAGAAAAGATCAATCATTTGTGTCTTTTTCATTTCAACTCAATCTTCTTGTTAATTTTTTGATATATCAATTCAATTAACTAAAAAATAAATAAATAAATAAATAAATAAATAAATAGACAAAGATTAATGTAGTAGAAATTTAAAGATTTTGGTAGCAAAATGATAATTTATTATTATAATAAGGCCCATTGCTTCTCTCATGTGGCTCCGCCACTGCACAACACAACATATGTGATGGATATATTGGCAAATATAGGAATAGGACCAGAACAATTCGACCTGGTGGAACGGAGCAAGACAAGTTCGATTGGATCCGGGGTCGAGTCTCGTGCTCGGCCTCGGCTAGAGGCATTGGCTAGACGCCTCAACCGGCTAGCCCGAGGGCTCGATCGCAAGGGTTGTTAAGGGTTGTTACAATCGTCCCCTCCTCTTTAGGGGGGCGGTTAAGGGATTTTGGCTAGTATGAAAATCCTTGCATTTGTCTATTTTGGACATCTTCATCTACTTTGTCATAAACACACAACCATTGTAATAACATTACATCTTGCTTGTAATCATTTTATCATCAATACAAGGTTATCTCCATGATATACATCTATTTTGTTCATCGATCATCACATTAACCATTTTATACATTTATCATTTTCCTCTATTTATCGGGTTTAATAATTCAGACCACTCGGGTTAATTAAATATATTATTAGTGCTTTCATTTGAGACCTCGAAATACAAGCTCGAGTGTGCTATTATTTTCACTAGCTATGACAAGATCAAGATCCAATCGTCGCAATTCAAACGGTTCAGGCAACACTCGCGCCAGCCGAGCGGGAACGGTCTCATCAAGACCGCTAACCGGCAACAAAATGTTTTCCGTGAGGTCGGCGGCTTAGCTCCTCCAGCCCTCCTCCGGGCTCGGGCTTCCAAGAGGTGGTGGCTGCCATCCATCAAGTCGTCGCCGCATTGACCTGCCCCGTGGAGGGGCTCCAAGGAGATGTCTGAGCCCCCCGTTTGGCCCCGATGCCTCTCAAGGGGTGCCACCTCCACTCCACCCGCTTCGAGGGAGCGCGATGGACCGAGTACCTGGCCACCCTGAGACCTGGGGACTCAAGCCGAGGGGGAGGTCAACTCACCGCGACCGTTGGACAGACGAGGACGGGGTGGTGCTGGGTAATCAATCTTGGGGTCAATCTTGGTTTACGGGGACTCTATTGAGACAGAAGGATCAATCAATCTCGAAGTGGAAATAGGCAACCAACCCCATGTCAAGCGGTAGGAGGTGGAGTTCGTGGTGGTCAAGATCAATTGTGCTCACAACATAATCCTAGGTTGACCCACCTTAGAGGACATCAGGTGCTTGATCTCCATGGAGCACCTGTGCCTCAAATTTCCAACACCAAAAAGGGTCGGGATTGCTCGGGGGGATAAGAAGGTCAGCCGCAACTGCTACTTATGGCCGTGCCGACAAATAGGCAAACGGGACTGCCAGGTCCATACCATAACC